GTTTAATATCATTCTTTTCATGATCAAACCAATGACTTATATCCTTACCAGCATAAGCTAGTATTGGTTTAATCTCTCTTTTGTTAGCCCAAATTTTACAAAGATCACTTAGATCATATACTTCACCATGATATGAGACCCAACAATCAATCTCTGTATTATGTACTGCAACTTCTGTAGGTAGAAAATACTTGACAAATAAAATATCTTTATTAATTTTAGAAATATATTTTTTCTTAGCCGAAATTTGACTTACAGTTGACATTTTATAAAATTCGATATATTTGTTTTCTTTTGCTAGAATTATCGTCGACGATTTTCATTTGAATATACTGTATGATACCTTAAAATGATTCAAAACATTTTTTAACACAAAAAAAATCATCCGTATTAATAAATAATTTTTTTATTTTAATCTTTTTTTAATATAATTTTTATAATTGCATAATAATTAAAAATATTTGATTAATATATATATTTAAATAACATATGTATAACAGTTGTTAACCTGTTATATTTTATATATATATTCGTTATATAAATATATATAAGAAACAATAAACATAATCCTCAAATATGTCCAAAAAATGCTGCTCAATAAATGCCAGATTTTGCTATCTTCATGTTATTCCGTATTTCGTAAAAAAACCTAAACTAATTATTGGTCAAATTGATAATTAAAGAAACAGTCGTTAAAGAAAGAATTTTAAATTATAAAATATAAAAAATTACATATAACAATAATGTCAATTCGACAGATGAGATAATAATTTTGTAAAAATTAATCAGTTAATGTAACAAGTATTGAATTTTGCTAGGAACTTTCATTTTATATTGTTGGTTTTCTATGTTACTTTCAAGCTGAAGGCAGTCACTGCATTGTGGCTATTGCAGGCGATTGAATGGCTGCCTCGTCTAGAGAGTGCACATTCTGTTTTGCTGTAATTAATTTTACGTTAGTTGGTGATTTACGCGTGAAATATTCTCTGCCTCGTATAATTTGGTGAGTCTTTGAATAGATTTTATTAACGTTTAAAAAGATGATTCATGTAGTAGGTGTGCTATTATAGTACTTTCGTTTCTAAGAAACGTGCTCTTAAAATTTACGGCCGGTTATTTATTTTTTGCTAAACATCATATTTAGTGGATTTTTCCTAAACATTATATAAATTGTTCATTAAATGATATGAAATATTTACATATATATTTTTAATAAATTTTTCATATAAATTAAATATCTATAGTATACAGTAGTTGTCAGAACTTATACTGGGTTGTGACTTTGTGACATACTATAATAGCATCTTATATTTACACGTAGTAATATCATTAGACATTATTCGAAATAACTATATTTTGTAACTCTATTATTTGATAAAAGAAAATATCAAAAGCTTTATTTAGTATTAAACTTTATATTTATTAATGCAATGATTTTTTTTTATTTTCATCTGCTATTAATAAAATAATGCAATAATTAATAAATAATAAAATTGAAATAGTATATATGATTTATAATCATTTTCATAAGTTCATGACCTGAATGATAACATGAAAAATATTTTTTCTGTTTAGTTATTTCTTTTTATTATTTCATACAATTTTTATATTTTAATGTTTTTTTTTAATTTTAATAAACAAAATAATTTTTAAAATTTTTTATTTACCAAATTATATAAATTAGAGTAATATCTAAAGTATAAAATCTAGGAACTAAAAGAATATAAGAATAAGTTTATATTATTTTGTCATTTGTTTATATATCTTTCATTTTTCATCAAATTTATTAAATCCTTGTAGGATTATTGAAATCACCACAATACTAATAGCAATACAAGAAATTTTGAGATGGAAAAAAGCGCGGACGGATTATTGTTTCGCGCAGAGAGAAATAATGGGGCTAATGAAGGAACATTGGGCATACCATGTGTTAATGAAAAAGTGGCTATTTTGGATGCAGGGGCACAATATGGTAAAGTGATAGATCGTAAAATCCGTGAATTAAATGTGCATAGTGAAATTCTGCCTTTGGACACATCTGCATTTACCCTTCAAGAAAAGGGTTATAAGTAAGATCATATAAATTATTTTTATTAAATACAGAATATTTGTAAATTATTACTTGGTAATTATTACTTTAAATTTAAATTTTTAGAGCTATTATAATTTCTGGAGGGCCAAGTTCAGTTTATGCAGAAGATGCACCTAAATATGATGCAGACATCTTCAGAATAGGAATTCCAGTACTAGGTATTTGTTATGGAATGCAAATGATGAATAAAGAATTTGGAGGTACAGTGATAAGTAAAGAGGGTAGAGAAGATGGTCAGTTCCCAATTGAAATAGATTCCAAGTGCTTATTATTTAAGTAAGTGAGTCTAGAAATAGTAATATATTTAATATCTCATTAAATATAAAGTATTCAGAAAATAAATCATTTGTTAGGGGCTTGGAAAAAGAACAAATGGTACTGTTAACACATGGAGACAGTATAGATAGGGTAGCTGATAATTTTCATATTACTGCCAGATCATCAAACTTTATAGCAGGAATAGCAAGTGATAAAATGAATTTGTATGGAGTACAATTTCATCCAGAAGTAGATCTTACACCTAATGGAAAAACAATGTTACACAATTTTTTGTTTGGCATTGCTGGTCTTACCGGTAATTATACTCTTCGTGGCCGGGAAGCTCAGTGTATTCAATTCATCAGAGATACAGTTGGCAACAAAAAAGTTTTGGTAAGAAAAAGATTTACAATTAATATTTAGGTAATTATTGAAATCCGTACCGTTTAAAAAATTTCGTAAAATTTTTGAAACTTATAATAATTATATAAAATATAATGACTTATTTTGGTTAAAATATTTAAAAAATATAGTATAAGATATGACAACATGTGATTGTCAATTAAAATAGAAAAAAACAATCACAGTTATTAGTGAGCGGAGGTGTGGATTCTACGGTATGTGCAGCACTATTACATAAAGCTTTAAATAAGGAACAAGTCATAGCTCTCCATATCAATAATGGCTTTATGCGAAAAGGAGAAACGCAATTTGTGGAACAAAGCTTGGCGCAATTAGGAATTCGATTAAGAGTCGTTAATGCCGGACGCTGTTTTATGCAAGGAACTACATCTGTTCCCTTGGATAATGTCACACCAGTAGCCAATGCAAATACTATAAATAATAAAGGAATATATGGAACAGCAACTAGCCCAAGAACTAGATTAACTAAAATGTTGTGTGCAACAACTAATCCAGAAGAAAAACGAAAAATCATAGGAGATGTTTTTGTGAGAGTAGCTAATGAAGCAATGGCAGAGATGGGTTTGAAACCAGAAGAAGTGTTTCTTGGACAAGGCACTCTCAGGCCTGATCTTATAGAAAGTGCGAGTGCATTAGCTAGTGGTAAATTTATAGTTGTAAATGCATATATGTTTTTTCATATCTGTTAGAAATAATAAATTATATTTACATATAATATAAATATTTTTATCAGGTAAAGCGGATGCGATAAAAACGCATCACAATGATAGTGAACTTGTTAGAGCATTAAGAGCACAAGGTCATGTAGTAGAACCTTTAAAAGATTTCCATAAAGATGAAGTACGACAATTAGGATGTGATCTTGGATTACCAGCATCGTTAGTAGCTCGTCATCCATTTCCTGGTCCTGGACTTGCTGTACGCATTTTATGTGCAGATGAACCTTATATGGATAAAGATTTTTCAGAAACCCAGGTATTTTTGTTTATAATATCGATAAAAAGAAAATCTCTTCCGAAATAACAAATTTGTATTCAATTTAAGGTGATAGTTAAAATAATGGCTGAATATGAACAAATGCTTCAAAAGAAACACGGATTGTTAAATCGTGTAGAAGGTGCAACTAGTGAATCTGAACGCCAGTATTTGCGACAGCTTTCCAGTTACCGACATATTTCGGCAACACTTTTGCCTATACGCAGTGTAGGAGTGCAGGTATTTATGCAGAATATTTATTAATTACGAATAATCTTATAATTTAATAAAACTATATTGATATATCGATTAAAATATTTTCTGAATGATATAGGGAGATCGAAGAAGTTATAGTTATGTAGTAGGATTATCTAGCGAAGAAAATTTATCCGAGGGAATAGAATGGAAGGATCTCTTGTTCCTCGCAAAATTAATTCCACGAGTGTGTCACAATGTAAATCGTGTGTGCTTCATTTTTGGACCTCAATTACATCATCCTGTAACGGATATCACACCGACTCATCTTACATCGAATGTGATAGCTACGCTTCGACAGGCAGATCATGTAGCAAATCTAGTATTAGCTACTAGTGGCTGTATGGGAGCGATCAGTCAAATGCCAGTAGTTTTAATTCCCATACATTTCGATCGTGATGCTGCTTCTCGAATACCCTCATGTCAACGTTCAGTTGTTCTTAGGCCATTCGTTACTAATGATTTTATGACTGGTACTCCAGCTATTCCTGGAAAGGAGTTACCACTCCACGTAAGTTTAAAATAATATAAAAAATTGATATAATTAATATTTAATTATTATAAAAAATTTATACTTTTTTATTTATAGGTGGTGAAGAAATTGGTAACCGAAATATCTTCAATACCCGGTATCTCGCGTGTTTTATACGACTTAACATCTAAACCGCCAGGAACTACCGAATGGGAGTAGTAAACGCTCATCTCTGACTCACCCCTTTCTATTTTTTCACCTTCCCAGCGCGTAAACAACAAAGTAAAAAAATATATTTAAAAAAAAATATATATATATATACATACATATATATATATCATAAAAATACGTACGAATTCGAGGTTTATGACTTCTTACCGATTTATATGAAACCTTTGAGCATAGTTCTTTCAGAAAAAAAAGTATGTTCTCCATTGTAAATTAATATGTTACCTAAAGAATACTGATACTGTTTTCAATGAAATTGAAGGTAAGTATCATGTTTGCTTGTAAATAGGTTTCTTATTAACCTCATTGTAAAAATATTAATTTATTAAATTCCGAAAAATTACATTACATCACTGTTACACTGCAAAAGGTTGCATTTGATTGGTGGTACCATGAGGTTGCTGTTATATTCAATTTGCATATAATGTTGAACGTATTTTACTATTTTCCTATATGTCCCATGCCAAATGCAATTTCCAGTTTTTGTCATACATCTAAAGATACGAACATAAATAAGTTAATGTATTATCTTTAATATCATTTTTATTTATCAATCATAACTGAGTAAACTGATATCTATTCCCTAAATCCTCTGTGTTATATTACTCGCTATTCACCTTTTACAAGGGTGTATGTATGAATTTGGCATTATAGATTACCTATGCATGGTTTTTAATAATACATGTAAATCTTCGATTCGTTTCTTTTCCGGAAGCATGCTAAGAAATGTCGTAATTGACAAAAAATCAATTTCATTCACGATTTTAGAATTAGTGATCCACATTTGTATTTGTAATTTTACCTGCAATCATATATTTTATATATTTATTAGTTCCACAAAATTTATTTGTAAATGATAATATGACCCGAAAAATTATTCAGCATGCTATCTGAACTTTTCATAAAAACTAATTTAATTAAAATACTATATTAATTAAAATATATTATCACTCTAATATTTTCTAAGTTCTCGAACAAAATATATTGATAAAAAATAATGATTTATAAAGACAGTTAACAGTACTTAGAAATTAATGCTACCTGTTTCAGAGGTAAATTAAGTAAACGCTTTACAACTTCGATTAAAATGTTTTGATGTTGATTTGTATTATCGTTATCTTCTAAGATAGTACGATTATGAGAAAGAATAATCTCAGCTTCATCTGTAGTAATTTGATCATTAACAGATTCAGTTTTTTCTATACACGCTGTTGTAAATTTTGTAATACCAACATTAGTTTTATTATCTGATACATTTTTAAATTCATTTTTATTGTTTTTTATTGTTTTGAATGTTTGCACATTCTTCTTTTTATTTTTAGAAATTGTTTTGCCATTTTTACCACCATTTTTATTTTTCGAATTATTTTCTATTTTTTTATTATGTTTTATATTTTCATTTGTAAATCCATTAATATTTGTTTCATTTTTTTTCAGTTTCAAACACTTTTCTGCTTTTTTAGCAATGCAATATGATTGAACATCGCGCCTTAGATCTTCCGATAATGCTGCTAAAAACTCTGGATCTACTTGTGAATATGAAATATTTTGTTCATCATATTTAGTTTCTGAAGAAATTGGTTTACTACTCGATGAATTGTTATTTTTATTTATATTAATATCCATTTTACCTTCACTTTTTTTAGCATATTCATTAAGAATTTCATTTCGTATATCTTCAGGTAATTCTATTAGAACAGACATATCAATTTCTTGAATAGGTGGCATTTCTATCTTTGTTGGTCTTGAAATACCAGATTTTATTTGTTTAAAAAAATTTTCATGATGCGTTTGTACACTTTTTGATTCATTTTTATATGTAGTTTCTATATTAACAGTTTGATCTTTTTCATTTTCTGTTTGTTTCTTATTTTTGTCAATGTCTAAAATTTCATTTTGTATTTCCATCGGAATTGAATCACTCATATCAAATGGAATGCATAATTTGTCTCTGTTATTAGTAGTTCTAGAAACAGACGCAATAGTATTTGAATTTATTAAAGGCTGAATATTATTGCTTGTATTTGTTTCAATAGATCGATGAATTGTACTATTTTGTTTATTTTTAATGAAATTTGTTAAAGTTGTATTGCGAGATTTATTTTTTAATATTTCTAGTCTAGATATTTGTATGCCGATACCTCTTGCATCTTCTGGTATTTTTTGCATTTGATTCCAAAGTATAATAACTTCCCTGAAGTTATTATAAAAAGTTTATTAAAAAATGAACAATTTATTCTATTAATTCATTAAATCAAAATACATGCATGAGAGCAAATGAGAATATATTATGACATATACATTAATTACTATAATTTTTTAAATAATCTTCTTTAAACGAACCATTTTCATTACTTCTAATCGCTTTATAATCTAGAATAATCGTTTTATAATCTATATCGAGAAACAATTATTAATAAATCGCCAAAACAAGTTGAAAATAAAGTTTTTATATATTTTTTTTATTGTTATAAAATTATTTTATTTGAATTGTTAAAATCTTTATAAATTTTTTATTGATCTTTTAAGAAATTGATCTTTATAGATATATATATAAATAATATCAAATATGATTATATTTAAATTAATTTCTACTTTTAAAATTAAATATTATATTCATCTAAATATTAATTCTTATCGTATCGTAAAATGTCTTATCGTATCTCATTTGCTTTTTTTTTTGTTTCTCATTTCGATTTATTTATAACAGACCAATCTGAAGTCAGATAATAGTAATCAATTCGTCGTTAACAAGTTTTAAATTACAATTTAGAATATTTAATGTATTAAAAATAAAAAATATCGAACGAAATAGAAAATGTTATAATTATAAAAATGCGAATAATTATATTATAATTATATTTTAGGTACACAAGAGCGTTTGCTTGTATTGAAGTTTCATGAACAGGAAAAATAAAATCGATTTTTTATAAGCAGAAAGATAAAATCGACAGTAAAAATACAGCGATGCATCCTCATTTCTTTCTATTGTATAAAGAATGGCGATCATCTTTTTTTTGATTTATGACAAATTTAAACTTCTCCGGCCAACAACCCAAATCATTCTTGTACTTTTGCTTATCTTATAATTTTACAATTCCAGCAGTTGCTCATAGATGGCGGATGTATGACATGAATGATGGTATGTAGTGTACACGTACTGTTATTTCTATTTCTCGCTTGCTCTCGCGCGCGTTTCAATTTAAATGAATGACTTTGTACAATTATATATTACAATAATTCTGTAACTTACTTTGTTATAATATCAACATCATTAATTGGAGCGATAAAATTTTTTGATTTTGTTACATAATCACACAATCCGTGTCCCATAAATTTTTCAGTTTCTTTAGGTGCTTCTTTTGCTCTAATTAAAACTTTTAATGTAATGCATCTACCTTTTGCGTTAGCTTTTTTCAATCGATTATATACTTCATGTGATAATTTTTTTAAAAATTCTATCGCATCGTCGTTATTCTCGAATCTTATTCCATAATTTACTTCTGCAGAAACAGATTTTCTAATATGTTCTAAATTAAGTTTCGAATTATCTATACCACGACACATATTATATAAAATTTCACTCATTTTTTTGCCAAATTCCTTTTGTAGTGTTATCAAGGGAATTTTTTGTAATTCTGCACATGTTCGTATATTAATATTGTTTAATTTATGTGTTGTTGTCCATCCAACTCCTAGTTTAAATAATAATTATTATAAATAATTTTAAAATGAACTTAACATTATCATTAATCCAGCCTAAATACTCTACCTGGCAAGTCTTGTACATTAAAAGAGCTAATGCAATTATTAATGTGTTCTTGTTGTATATAAAATTGACCATTTGGCTTTGCTTTTCTTGTTGCTAATCTTGCTAATAATTTGTTTCTTCCAAATCCTGTTGAAACAGGACAACCAGTTTTTTCTTTTATTTCCTGTCTAATTATAGTTGCAAATTCCATTGGTGTTAAACCAGATTCTTCTAATATTTTTGTGCAATCTGCATACATTTCATCACAACTAACTGCTTCAATGTCTAATGTATATGATGCTACAGTATCATATAATATATAAGAAACTTTTGTATAGCCTTCAAAATTATATGGTATTGTTCTTAAATCAGGACAAATTTTTAATGCCTCTCCTAAAAACATGCCATTTTTTACACCAGCTTTTCTTGCTTCATAAGAACAAGATGCTATCTCTGATAATGAACACTGTTCTTCATCTCTATTTTTATTATCATCTAAAGTTTGTTTATTAATATTTACAGAATTTTTATTGCCTTTTGCATGAGTTACTGCAACAGGTAAGCCTTTTAATTCTGGTTTATCCCTAAGACCAACTGAAACAAAAAAGCAATCCATATCTATATGCATAATGATACAATCTTGATTAATTTCTATCTTATTTTCTTCTTGTAAATCAATTAATTCATTATTAATGCTTAATTGAGAATCAAATAGTAGTCTGTTTAATTTTTTATCTTTTAATTTTTTTAACTTTATAAATCCAGGAAATTCTCCATTATTTTTATCTCTTAATTCATTAACATATTCTTTGAATGTAGTTCCCATTGTTGAGATATGATGTAATCGTGAATGATTATAAAATTCCTTTATAAATTCTGGATTTTTTGTAGAATTAGCATCTTTTGAATTGATTGGTAATATTGAGATATTTTCTTTTATAGAAGTATGTTTAGTTGTTTCAATTATATTATCATTTTTCAGAGTACTTACTTCATTATTTTTTTGCATATCATTATGTGTTTCAAAAATAACATCAGTTTCATTTCTTTTATTTTGTATTATATATTTCAATTGAGGTTGTACATTTGTACAATGAGAATAAAGCAAATAATTTTGAAAATTAAGAATTCTACTAGCTTTTATACTATCTATAATCCATTCAGGTTTACATATAGGAATTGGATTTTGACTTTTTCTATATAATATTATTTTTGAGTATGGTAAATTAGATGCAATAATATGAGTTGTTGCTTTTGGCCTCATATAATGATGATATATACCCCCATGTACCATCATTAAATGACGAAGTTCATCTGCAGTTGGATTAGTATAACCATTTACAAAAATTGCAATTCCTTTAAATATATTAGATGTTTTAATTTCTTTGTCTGCTTCATTTTTAAATTGTTCTTCTAATTTTGCTTCTTTAGCAGCCATATAGCCACCCTAAAAATATTTTATTATACTAATATTTAACTTTTCTAATAAAATTTTGAATATATTTTTCACATACCCAATCTTCAAATCCATTTTCCCCACAAGTTTCACGTTTTTTTTTTCTTGACATTATAAAAAAAATTAAATTAAATAAAATAAATATAAAAACTTCCCTAATATGCTAACTTTCATATAATTATCATATTAGTTAACATATATTTATGTGCATACTTTTTTATATAATAAAAAGAATGCATTTTCATAAAATAACCTTGTTGAACATTTATAAAATATCTTGTTGAACATTTTGAATGTAATTTAATATGTAAATATGTATTGATATTCGATAAAGATTATTTATATTAATTTTTTTCCAATGATATACACTAATATGATAAATGTAACACGATAATACTTCACTTCATATTACAATTGAGTTTATTAATCGTTCATATTACATCCGATTCAAATGGCTCCTCTCGACTAAATTCTTCAATAATTTTTTCAACCAAAGAATAACATACACAAAATTTTTTCATTTATTCAACAATTATTTATACAATTCAAATAGTATATATTATATAAATATATATATACACATATATATGAAATTGATAGTAACTATATATATTTAGTTGTTACTAATTATTTATACATTTCAGTATTTCATTTAGATTTATAAATTTCATAAAATAATATTTATTGTAAATATTATTCATAATTTCGTAAACATAACAAATTTGTATATATATATATAAATATTATAAAGTAAATATATTTTTTATAATAATAATAAATATAAAATAAAAATCGTATCAAACGATTCTTTTTCTATGGAGAATGTTTGTAGAATGTAGTGTTTTTGTGTAGTAACAAAAAGCTTGCTCGATGTAAATTATATGTATGAGTTGTTACACACACAACATACATATATAGATATAACATATTACAATCAAAATTTTTAGTCATTTATTTCGAAGGTTACGTAACTTTCTGAATCATCCAATATTTAAGAAAAATTAAAAAAATATTGTGCGTTTATGTGTGAAATTTATAGTGTCCAACAAATATCAGTATATAGATAGAAATTATATTGAAAAGATGAATATTCTTTTATGAGCATATACTTTGAAAAGGTTAGATATGAAGCTAAATGTATATAAAATATAAAATAAGATATATAATTAATAAAATACAGCGAGGTCATAAATTATTGTATCAAAATCGATATCATTTTATCTTTCGAATTTATCTTTATCAAAAATTGTTGCTGTTTTATCGTTGAAATACTTGTATAAATAATATTTGCATAGTTTTCTTCTCAACTAATTTTACGATCTAGTTATATTATTATTTGATCAAATTGACTATATATATTTTGATATATTTTGAAAATATTCTTTCACTGCATATTGCATGTGTGTGTGTGTTAAATTAAATTGTTATACAGAATATGTTTTGTAAAAATTACGAATTTGTTCTAAGAAAATAAAAGTCAAAACAGTATGTGGACCTAAACGAGCATAATAAGGAAAAAAACCTTTCCACAATGAAAAAACTCCTTCATTTCGACATACTTGTATTATGACATCTATTGCACCCTTAAATTCTGGTTTACCATCCACAATTTTCATATTTTGAATCCTGCAAATTATTAATAATGCAAAGTGTGAAACCATTTCCATAATTGTTTCACTAATTTAATTTTTTTAAAATTTACCTTGTTTTAGCAATATCAACTGGCATAGAAGCAATAGTTGTAACTAAACCTGATATCATAGAACTTGTAAAATGTAATAGAATATTATCCTCAAAATATCCTAATCAAATAGATATAAAAAAAAAATATTATACTAATGTTATTCACTTGATCTTTACTTATTTATATCTTTACAAACCAGTATTAAGTAAAGTTTCTTTAGATTGAGAATATGATGCCAATTGAGCTGCATTTACAACCATAGCTCTTCCCATTGTTGGAACAGTACCTCTCCATAATGCTAAAAAGCCTTCTTCTTTGGCTATTCGAACTAATGCATTAAATGCATTTTTATAATTACGTCTTTCAGCTAGAAATAAATATTCCTCAGAATTTTAGAATCTTTATTGAATATTCAACTAACATTTGGCATACCAAGAGGTAATCTACCATCAGCAGTCATTCTAATTAAGGCAACTTCAGCGGGAGTACCAACAAATGCTCCTACACAACCAGCAGAACTACCTATTAGTAGTTTCATAAGAAAATTTGGTTGTCTGTCTTTTCTGAACAAGAGGAATACCAAATAATTCTATACATATACATGTTATTTTTTTTTAAATTGATATGAGTTTAACAGATATGTACTCACGATATTAATTCAGACAACCATTCAAATGTACCAAGTCTTGTAGTCGTATATGAAGCCTGACGTAATAAACCAGCAGATAAGCCTGAATAAAAAGCTAAAATACCCTCATTTTTTAAAATTGAGGATATTATATTTATTGTTGATATTTTAATTCCACTTAATTGCATTCGATTTTTTATTAAATCTAATGGTTGAACAACACATGTTGCAGCCATTCTAGAATAAAATAATCAATTCCTTGATAAACTTTCTAATCTAACTATAGAATTATGTTTATATTGAAAAATGCAAAAAACTAATTTTATATATATATTTTGTAAAATTTTAAATAAATTCCAATATCACAAAATATTATTTAATATAAATATTTTATAAAAATGCAATATTTGAATTCAAAAGTAAATATTTAATTCTTTTATTTATTTTTTAATATTTATATATTATTTTTTAAAATATTATTTGTAAAATGATAAAAATAACAAACCCTGCAGTTCCCCCAAAAAGGAAATTTATTGAAGTTGATACTGTTTTTTGGTTGCTCATTTTAATAATTTAGTATAACACTTATATTGATAATAGAATGATAATTTTTGAATTAGGAATGGTTTAAAGTGAATTGTGAGAAGAAATACGATAACGAGAGAAAATACTTGTAACGAGAAAAAATACTTGTAACGAGAAAAACACAGTATGTTTAAAATGAAAAAAACGAGCACCAACTCAATATAGATTAGATAGAACTCTAAAATAAGCTAAGTGGAAGATTATTAAAATTCTTGTGAAATTCCATCCTTCGTTTACCGATACTAAATTATAAAACTTTTGCATTTTAGCGACATCTTGTAGTATAAAACTACACTTAATAAAGAACAACGAATTCAACCATCACTATGTTAAAATACTAGTACAGATAATGATCGAATAATACTGTATAATACCGATAAGATAGAATCTTTTTACATGAAAATTAAAATTCAATTTTATTATTTTGAAATTTGAAATTTAATATTAAGAAAATCAAATCTTGAATATCGACTATCATTATCAACAGCAATAATGTATTAATATACATATCAAGGCAAGAAAAAGCAAAAATAAAAAAATAGAAATATATAATTAGAAAAATTTATATATATATAAGCAAAAGTTTAATAAAGATAGTTTAAAATATTTTGTTTTTTAAAAAATATATAATTATAAAAAAATATATAAAATAATAATTTTAAATTTGTTTAGGTTAAAATAATAATATTCGTTAAATAACTAAAAAAATTGTATAAAAAATTATGAAAATCAAATATTTCATTATATATAATGAACGCCTAGATTCAAATTTACTATTAAATGAATCGCACATAAAATTTTTTATATAAAAAAAGAATAAAAGAATAAAAATACAAAACTTACCATTCGTCGAATTTTTTATTGAAGATAGTGTCTATGAAAAATATGATGATTATAATTATTAATATTAATATTAATAATTGTTTAAATTTATGTTATGATTTCAAATATCTCATAAAAAATATTTCAATAAATTATTAATTTTATCTATGAGAATCTATTATTTAAAAAAAATTATAAATTATATTTAATAATAAAAAATAAAAAATTATATCAAATGAATTAAGAAATTAATCAAATATTCACGCTAAATTTTAATATATATACGTAATAATTAAAATAGAATAATATTCATTTAGTTTTTATTAATAATGTATTTAATAGTTTAAAAGACTTATCACATTAATTTTTTTATTTACGTTGTACACTTATTTCACATTTTAACACTACTTATCAACATTCTATTATATTCTAGATAAATTATTATAAATTCAAAGACGTAAGAAGCGCGAAGTATCCATGAACCGATAGAAACTGAAGACAGATTATATGAATACTACGTTCGACATTCGAAAAATCGAACAAAAATATATAAATATAATAAAGAAACTCGTAGAAAAACTTAAAAAAAAAAAAAATTTTTTTAGAAAAAAATAAAAAATATTTTTCATCATTTGAAAAATCTAAAATTTATTTTTTCCTTGTAACAATAACATACTAATAAATGAATATGAATTTTTTGAAATATATAAAAATAAAGTTTTTTAAAAAATGAGGTATAAAAAATTAAATTAAAAATATTATATATTTTTAAAATCATATTTACATTTATTAAATTTTTTATAACTTTTATAAAATAATTTATGAATTTGATTAACTAAGTTAATAGCCCGCTCTAAATTAACGTATTCTTTCGTTTCTTACCAACACAGATTCTGATGTACGATTTGTGTGTGTGTGACTGGAAAGAACGAACGATGAGCTGCTGCAATAGAATTAACAAAAATTTATGGGAAAAAGTTTCTTTTCGTAAACAAGTAAGTTAATATAATTATATAATATTCATATATATGTTTGCAAAATAGTCGAAAGAAAAAAAATATTGATATTTTAATCAAAAAATAGAATATGTCACGATCTTTGTTGCGCATGCGAAGTCGTTTGATTGTTACATTACTTTTTTAACGGTTTTTATGTTTAAACAACAATTTATTTGACGTACTTCTATAAAATATATATATAATGTTAGTTTACTTTTTTAAAATAATAACATAATATTATATATAATAACATATATTATATATAATAACATAATATTAAAATTGAAAATTCGGAAAATTGTACGTAAAATTGAAAATTCGGAAGATAGTACAAATATTATGAATAATGCGTATATATGATTTACGATCGAAATCTTTACTAATATAGCTAATTTTTCTTTTAAGTATAATTTTTCGATATATTATTTATTTCTTTAATATTTGAAAATAACTTTGTATTAAAATATACTGTAGAAGAAAATAAATGAATTCATTTAATTATTCGTTCGTAAGTGACATGATTACATTCGTTTTCATAGAAAAAATGGAATTTATTATTAAAAATATTTTATAATATATCCACACATATAGAATTGTTTTTAGAAAAATAAAATTTTAAAATATTTTAAAATAATATATAAGAAATATAATAATGTTAATAAATTTTTATTTCTAATATATAATTATATATAATGAAAGAAGATTAAATCAAGCATTTCTGTAAGTATTTTTATTTCTTTTCGTTTATAATGAGACGAATGAACAAAGGATACCAATTGTACGATGCACAGTACAGTAAGCAGATAACAATATTTACAAACACCTGAAAGATTTCAATAGGTTGATTCTTTTTGCTATTCGTTTTTCTATATATTAAAAAGAATAATATGCACATTAAAATAATAGTTTTTTCGGTAGATAATTAATAAAAAGTTTTTATATACGGTAGGCGCATTTTAATTTTTTTTTTTTGATAGAGACATTTTTTTAAACTATTTGCTAACATTGGTATTTCAAAATTTCATTAACTGAGAATAATATAATTTTAAACATAACCTGTTACTTTTAGAATTCTATCTTTTTTCGTATTGTGTTTGTATAATATTTCTATTTGCAAGTAATGTAACATAATTCGATATTTAATATCGTTAAGAAAATCTATTTAGATGTAAAAATGTTGTAAAATATTTTGTTCGATCGATATATATTTACTCGATTGAATCGGAATGCGATTTTAAGGTGTTTTGTAATTTGATATCTAGTTCGTAAGTATAGGCATTAATTACGTAAAAATCGGATCTCTAGATTGTTATCCTCCTCCTATGCAAGAAATAGTGAGAAAAATAAATTTTTATTTTAAGGCCGTTGATTTAAAGTTTTCTAAGTACTAGTTTGGTTAAAAATTTACGATAAAAAATTTAATTAGGTTTAGCTAAGTTTTCGATAATATTTTTTATATGATATTTTTTTGTATTTTGGCATTAACTTATTTAGTCAAGTTTATACCAAGATAAAGGTAGGTACATGCATACGTCTATACTTGTACGCATACATGTATGCACATATACATAACTTTATATTGTATCATATCTAATTTTACAAACAATGATTTTGTTTTTCTTTTTCATTTTGAATCTAATAGTCAAATTATATGATATCGAATTGTAATCACACACAATTTTGAACATTTTTTTCTTCGTGTTCTTCAATCTCACGTAACTCTCTTAAAATTACGCATATATTAGAAATAATTATATTTTGTGCTTACTGACATTTTTGTTTGTTAAAATGACAAATGTTTCTCGTAGTTTTTTGAAGTGTAAAAAGTAGTAGAATACGTGAAATAGATTAGATAATATTACAATATGTTTAGCTTGAATTATAAAGTGAGGAGCATAGAAACAGTATAACAAAATATATGAAATATTTATAAAACAGCTGTTTTCATTGACATTTGTGAAATTGTGATATCATAATAAATACAAATATTCTTTTTACAAATATGAAAAATAAATCCGAATGATTATTTAAAAAAAATATTAATATTGTGTGTTGAAGAAATGAAAATGTAATTCAAACGATTAATCATATTGAATTGCTCATTTGAAATAAAATTTTATATATCGAATCATAAATATTTAACGTCACAGATATATAAATAACTTTTTTTTATCATTTCACAAATGGCAACAAAAGATGAACGAATACAATTGTCGTGCATGGCCAAAGCCGTGCCTTATCACATACGTATTCATAATAGTGATACACTATTTACATTGAATTTGTTCAAGAAATACTTACAATTGGATATATCCCGCGCGTAGTCTCATATAATACATTAATTTTAAATTAATTAATTAATACCATTCATTTAATGTATCATATCTTGAAATATGTGTCTCGAAATAACCATTGTTTCTCAATGTGATAGATGCTCGAGTTATAGCTACGTACTTTACAATAACTATCGTCTAATTTGGACGTTGGCGGATACATTAAAATTTGTTGTGCACATTATTGCTACGCTAAAGTTTAAAACTTTTTTTTCACCGATAATTTTAAAGTCTTTCGATTTGAAAACAAGACTTCGCAATAATTCCCTTAAAGGTTGAATTTATTGTTTTTTATATTTGAAAATAGTACGAATGCTCCTAAATAATATATTTTGCCGATTTATTTTTCAGCAAAATTACCGCAAGAATACATTTTTAAATAAACGATGTAGTTTCGCTAACTAGATTTAATCAATCACAGCAACACGTATGCGTATGGAATGACATAAGCAAAAAGTTTTCCGAGGAAGAGATAGATATATTCGATACAAATTGCATCGTTATCCGGATTTTAAACATTCACGATATAAGAGGCGAGTAAAAAATATCTTTCAGATAAAGTATCTTCGATTTCGATTATATTATAATTATTTTCGATTTCGAAAATAAATTACATTTATGAAAAATCTATGAACAATTCACTTCGCATACGATTTACTTTTTTAGATTAAAATTTATGATTGTACACGTGTTCCATTCTAAGAAATTCGGATCAGACGAGGTGTCGAATCTCTAAACAAATATTAATATTTAAAATGAGCAAGGATATAGTTTATATCATATTTTCGTTTGTTTTTTTTTTCTTTTTCTTTTTGGACATGTTTCGCGTTTCGTAAAAAATGTTTATATCGATAGAATTTCATTCGACAATACGTAGAAATACGTTTCAATGCAATGAAGAGAATTTCGACCGATTTGTTCCTAACTAATCGATTGAATTCAAAAATCTCGTGTCTGTAAAAAGTGAAATATACATTTTGTAGAAAGATTTTATATAGAATTGAAGTACAAGTGATAAAACATGAATGTATCTTGAACACTTAAAAAACGAGTGGTTTTGGTTCCTCGTTGCCCTATCTTATGCTTTTTTTTTTTTTTTTGTCTTTTGCTTCTGTTTCTACAAGTATTTCTCGATAGTATTTTATCTTTCGGTTTGCGTTCTTCTAAGGCTTGTAACCCTGATATGTTTCTGGAAACGTTCAGCTATCAAACGGATCGAATTTTAGCGATCGTGATTCAGGAAGTCGGCGCAAATTGCTAAATGCCTGATATAGAGATGCATTGTCAGCATCACCGGCGCTAAATCTGTGCAATAATTTATTCTCGGGATCCCACGTAGAGTTTGTCGGTTTATACGAGCGAGGAATGTGTTGTTGTTGTTGTTGTTCCCCCCGATTATTGCCAAAAACGAACGTTTCGTTTCCTGAAAACACATTTTCACATTTTATCGAAGATTCGAAATATCGATTTGTATCCAATTGTATTAATCGCTCGTTCTGTTACCTTGGGCAGGGGACAGCGATCGTGGCGGTGTTCCAACAACAGGTGACAAGGGCTCGTACGGCGGTGGTGGGGGAGAAGATGGCGACGGTGTCGGGGAGTGTGGTTGCCTCAAAAGAAGATCCGGATCGAGTTCGAGGATTCTTAGAACTGTTTGAGAATTCGCTCGAACCCAGGATTCGAACAAGTCTACGGGCCAGTCGGTTTGCGTGGATGCGTCTAACATTCTCCTTGGTGGATCCCAGCATATAGCATCCGGCGGATGGGACGAGCTTCTCGCCAAAACTCCACTCCCACGACTCGCGGGGGTTGGTAAATTCGGATTACTTTGAGGCGAACACGCTAATATTTGTAGAGCTTGTATGGCATTTCTCACCTATTTTTATTTATTTATTTTTTTGTGAAATACCAAGTGTCAATAATTTTTTTTCTGATTTTCACCAGAGATGAAATAATCTCTTTTTACCTCGCAACTCAACGTGGCTACGTCCTGATGCAACGTGGAAAATTGGGTGTCCAGTCGTTCCACGGATCCTCGAATGTGTTCTTCCATCGATTCTTGAGCGATTACTTGAGCCGTCCTCCCTCTCACTAAAACTCCCCTTGCCGGCCTTCTTGCCTCTCGATACTCGTCCCTGCGTCGGATATTTGAGGATTTTTTTCAAGATTGGGGGACAGACGACAAGGGATATAGATAAATTTACCTGAATTTGGCGTGTCTCGGGCTCGAAGACGTGTGCAAAGGTGATTTGTTCGGCGGTGACAGGGGCGACGTCTCCCCTTCGTCAGGCACGTTTTCATCGTCTTCGCTAATGGAGGGTAACGTTAACGACGGCCCATTCATATCCGATTCTTGCTAAAATTAAAACAATTTTGGAAATTTTGCGCGTGAATCGAGACCGTCTTCCACCTCTCTCCTCCTCTATCCCCTCCGATATCGAAGGAATATACTGAAGATTATTGTACCTCGGCTTCGTATCCCTCCCGCAAATTGTAAGTGAGATCGTGTTGTATATCATTTGCAAACTGATGTTGATACTCGGGATACAAACGAAGCACCTCGACTAATCCATGCATATTTATGCATTTTAAATCGCAGTAGGTTAACGCTTTAACGTCGCAACTCGATTTGACTACGACATCCGCGGCACCTCCTCCACCTGCCCCACCACCGTTACTCGTGTGCTGCAGGTGGACGTTTATGTCACAGCCTACCAGATCACCTTTACCTTCAAACCAAATTCAAATTTGCGATTCCATTTTTCGAGCATCGAAAATAAGGAACGTATATATATATATAAAATAAACCCTTACCTAAGATCGCAACGACCATGTTATTTTGCACAACCTCCATGGAACCGTTGCACAAGTAATATATGTAAGAGAGTGCATCCCCTTTGTGAACTAAAAACTCGCCGGGGGCGCAAAAATTATTTTTAATTCGGAGAGATAGTAATTTGAGACAGCCCTGGGAAGCGGGCTCGAATATCGGTAAATTTAATATCTCGCGATGTAAGTGCATCGAAACATCTCCTCGCAGCTCCTCTGGAAATTGTTTCAGGGTCTGAAAACGTGGACTGGCGTCAATCACGGAATGATAAACGGATGATTAAATTATACGGATAAGAAGAAGAGCAACAATCTTGATGGACAATCTCGGTGATTAAGTAAGTGTAATTATGATTAATCGGGATTATTATATAATTTATATTCACCTCGTGTATATCGATACCATGATTCAAGGACCACATAGTTTGGAAATAGTCTTGCATACGTTGTTTCAGTTCTTCGGGGATCTGATGCAATACGAAAAAATCCTTGAGATCCCGCAATTTTGTTTGGTATAGAGATCTTCTAGAGTAAATTCTTTGAATAATTGCAGTCACGTTACCAAAGACCACGGCATGCATCAGAGCTGTAGCATACACGATATGTACAATGTGGAAATAATTCCAATATTTGTGTAAATTTCCATTCAAATTTATTCCGTATTAATTAACATCAATTCGCCCCTTCAATTCACGTGTATGCAAATTTTTTCCTTTTTTTTTTTTTTTTAGTGATCGAAAGAAAAAAAAAAAGACAAGCGTGCGGCAATCGATTTTAATTAAATCGATAATCCTTACTACGGAATAACGGTATAGACACATTATTGATCGATGATTATTTACTGACCGCCAATGAGCATCGTGCAAATTGAGAAGAACTTCTCGGAGAATGTATTGGCCGAAGCATTTCCAAATCCTACCGGTGTCAGGCTACTGCACGTGAAATACAACGCGGTGATGTAACTTTCCGCGTGGGTTACGTGCTCCACCGAAATCTTCAAGTTTTCCGCCAACGTGTGAATCCAACCGGGAAAAGGGTGCTCGTGTCAAATCGCGACGGTCGCATGCCCACTACCACGACCCCCATCCCCGCGTACACCACGTACGATCGAAAGGAAGATTTTTATCGCGAGTATATCGCGATAAGTGTGGCAAAATCGAAAAAATTCTTAATTTACCCGAGTCTCGTCAATTATGTCGACCGTCGCTAGATCGCGCCCCCTTAAATCTGTGGATAACAGATCGAAGCTCTATAGAGAGATAGGGAAGTATTAAGAGGTCATCTGCGAGGCAGCTGATTTAATCGGGGGTGGTTAGGTGTGATCCGCGTTGTATCTCCGGTTTTTAAATCGGTTGATTCGTTCATTCACGCGAAACGAAAAGATTAAACAGATTAAACCGCGATTAAATGGACGCGAGTTGTGTTTTCTCCGATTGGAAGAGAAATGTTGGCACATGAATATATAACGCTTAATTAATACGGAGCCGCTTCTCAAAAAAAAACAAGTCTCTCTGTGAAACGAGGGATACGTATATTTAAACGTTATAGAGGTACGAAATAGGTTACCAGGCGTTTCTTTAGAGGCTCTATTTAGAGCCGTATAACTTCGTATAAGGTATGCTATACGAAGTTATGACGCAATGTGCGACGATTTAGAGGTTAGGCACAATATGTAAATAACTTGGATAAAAAGTAACCGCCTTCTTTTAATCTCTCTTTCATATCTCGTTTTCATTACCTTTCTCGTTGGCGCATCGACGTTTCATTGGCTTTGAAAGCTGGATTGGTGAAATAGTTTCGAACGAGCAGCACCAGATTCTGCGTATATATCGTCTACAAAAGTGCGACGGTTTGGAGGTTAGAAACAATATGTAAATAACTTGGATAAAAAGTAACCGCCTTCTTTTAATCTCTCTTTCATATCTCGTTTTCATTACCTTTCTCGTTGGCGCATCGACGTTTCATTGGCTTTGAAAGCTGGATTGGTGAAATAGTTTCGAACGAGCAGCACCAGATTCTGCGTATATATCGTCTACAAAAGTGCGACGGTTTGGAGGTTAGAAACAATATGTAAATAACTTGGATAAAAAGTAACCGCCTTCTTTTAATCTCTCTTTCATATCTCGTTTTCATTACCTTTCTCGTTGGCGCATCGACGTTTCATTGGCTTTGAAAGCTGGATTGGTGAAATAGTTTCGAACGAGCAGCACCAGATTCTGCGTATATATCGTCTACAAAAGTGCGACGGTTTGGAGGTTAGAAACAATATGTAAATAACTTGGATAAAAAGTAACCGCCTTCTTTTAATCTCTCTTTCATATCTCGTTTTCATTACCTTTCTCGTTGGCGCATCGACGTTTCATTGGCTTTGAAAGCTGGATTGGTGAAATAGTTTCGAACGAGCAGCACCAGATTCTGCGTATATATCGTCTACAAAAGTGCGACGGTTTGGAGGTTAGAAACAATATGTAAATAACTTGGATAAAAAGTAACCGCCTTCTTTTAATCTCTCTTTCATATCTCGTTTTCATTACCTTTCTCGTTGGCGCATCGACGTTTCATTGGCTTTGAAAGCTGGATTGGTGAAATAGTTTCGAACGAGCAGCACCAGATTCTGCGTATATATCGTCTACAAAAGTGCGACGGTTTGGAGGTTAGAAACAATATGTAAATAACTTGGATAAAAAGTAACCGCCTTCTTTTAATCTCTCTTTCATATCTCGTTTTCATTACCTTTCTCGTTGGCGCATCGACGTTTCATTGGCTTTGAAAGCTGGATTGGTGAAATAGTTTCGAACGAGCAGCACCAGATTCTGCGTATATATCGTCTACAAAAGTGCGACGGTTTGGAGGTTAGAAACAATATGTAAATAACTTGGATAAAAAGTAACCGCCTTCTTTTAATCTCTCTTTCATATCTCGTTTTCATTACCTTTCTCGTTGGCGCATCGACGTTTCATTGGCTTTGAAAGCTGGATTGGTGAAATAGTTTCGAACGAGCAGCACCAGATTCTGCGTATATATCGTCTACAAAAGTGCGACGGTTTGGAGGTTAGAAACAATATGTAAATAACTTGGATAAAAAGTAACCGCCTTCTTTTAATCTCTCTTTCATATCTCGTTTTCATTACCTTTCTCGTTGGCGCATCGACGTTTCATTGGATTTGAAAGCTGGATTGGTGAAATTGTTTCGAACGAGTAGCAAGATTCTGCGTATATATCGTATAACAATGTGCGACGGTTTGGAGGTTAGAAACAATATGTAAATAACTTGGATGAAAAAAGTAATCGACTTCTTCTAATCTCTTGTTGTCAAAATCAGTGAACAGTGTTTTGAATAGCGTCTTGCTTCGTCTTTGTTAGATAAAAACAATTTTCGTTAAACCAATACATAAACTATATGATTTGAAATTGGATAAATTTTTGTTCGGCGTCAGTCTAAATTTAATTTTATTTCGAATCATTATCGAAGGTTTTGTTTTTGTTAATAACGAAGAAAGATCGTCGAGTAAATTGTTCTCAAGAATATGAGGATCTTGAAAAAGTTGAAAAAAAAAGACTCGTGAAGATCAAAGAATCGTGCCTTTTCGCGAATAATTAAGCGTGTTAAGTGGTGTTATGCGATAATTAAATTACTCACCTCGCCGCTGTAAACGTCGGACGCGTAGAGAAAATCAAAGGGCAAGGCGGCGACAAGATCGACAAAAAACCATCCCTTTAGATAGTTGACAGCGATGCTTTTGCTGTTGCTGACCACTTCACCCTTTCTGCTCACATAGGTCGTCCTAAAGTTCAGAACGATATCTGGGGGAAAGATGATTCGATCGTTTTCTTCCGATATTTCGTAATCGATACACGCGTGCTTTTCAAATTATTAAATTAATGCCCCACGCGAGTTGAAAATCAAGTTGAAAACTTTTGTATTTTCGTCGAAAGAGACGAAGTAATATACACTTTCTTCGATTTCTTCCTTTCTTTCTCCTTCCTCGTCATGGAAATGCAACGCGTTAAAAAGTTTATAGCGATGAACTGGTTTTTAATCTCGTTAACAAACCATCTCAAAATTCGCACAGCATCGTTTACAGCATTTTTACGACGAGCAGAATAGTTTCAATATAAAATTTTTCTGAAGGGAGAAATAAATTTAAAAAAAGGCGAAATAAAAAAAAAAAGGTGTGAAGACACTTTTGATACGGTAAACGAAATTACAATTTTCTGTTCTCGAAGAGAGAAAGAGAGAGAGATAGGATCTCGTTGAACACCCATGAAGAGCCCTTCGAACATCTTGTTACTCGATATTCAATTCAGGTATTGAATCAATTCAGTGTGTTTGTAGAGCGATTGTCACGTTACTTAAAGAACACTAAGACTTTATTCCAGATATGCACGGCTATATAATGTTTATATTTAAATTAAATTAAATTAAATTATTCTTATCGATTCTTTTTTTTTTTTTTTTTTTTTTTAGAACGAATAAACCGAGGATAAAGAAAATTTTTTA